CTCCCATTAACTTCTGATTAGACTAATTTTGACCCATTTAGCACCATTATAACTTAATTAGACTCAAAATTGAGGAATAAGCCGATTTTACCCTTTAAGGTCTTACTGAAAGGGGTAGATTTCCCCARGCAATTTTATAAAGACAGTAAAGACAAAAAGAAAACGTCACCCATACAAAGCAATCAACAAGAAAAACTACGGCAACTATGACTCACAAACCAAGTCATAAGGAGCCAAAAAAGACAAAGGGGAATACACCAAAACAGAAGAAGCCCATAAGCTAAAAAGCTAAGCCCGAGAGAGACCCAAAAGCTCCAAAACCGAACAACACCCACGAATTCACTTCGCATTGGAAGTCAATAACTTCATCCTTGTCTTCCAAGCCATGCGATGAAGAATCTGCATTTTGATATCCGCAATAACTTTATCCCCCGAATGATTGAAATTATCAAAGAATTTCCTATTCCGTTCCCTCCATATATTATAAACCGTTGCCGAAATGCCAAGCTTTTGAACCGTAGACCAAGATTTCCATGTTTGGGTGGATCTTCTATGAAGAATATCCTCCCAATTACTAGGACATTTCAGTAAACCCACGTCACGTTGAATAGCTTCCCAAATACTGCTGGAGTAAGTGCATTCAAAAAACAAGTGATTGTGCGTTTCAATCACTAAGTCGCAAAATACACACTTTAAATCAGGAGGTTCATGCTTCCACTGACTTAGACGATCCTGAGTTGGCAGTTTCAACTGACACGCCATCCACATACAAATAGCATRTTTAGGAATGTAAGCTTTATTCCAAACTAGTTTATACCAATGCACAACCGGTCTCACCTCTTGGATAGTTTTCCAAGCCAATTTGACCTCAAAATCACCCCGAGATAGATCTTTAGCAAGCCAGCCGACCCTATCCTCCACTTGACTGGGATACGGAATCACAACATTCTGAAGSTKWGGGAATTGTCGAATCCAAGCCTCCGGCCAATTAGTACCAAAACGTTGCATTATATCAGAAACCATGGAGTTATTATGAAACCCCTCGCCATTTATAAATCGATACGACAAGAATTGAATTAGAGGACCCGACTCACTCCATGTATCTTCCCAAGCATGCGTGGATAAACCATTTCCCACATTATAAATAAAGAATCTCCGGCAATGAGGTCTAATACACGACCACTCATTCCTCCAGAGTAAGAAGACTCTGGAGAATCCACGACCACTCATTCCTCTTCTTTATCACCCAGAAATTGCGGCCCTTAATACAGTTAGACTGAATCCAAGAGACCCACATAGAATTTTTGCCAAGAAGGATATCCCAAATATGTTTGAAGAGAAGACACCTATTCCAATTAGCAAGCCGTTTTAAACCAAGACCCCCACTTTGAATAGGCAAGCAAACAGTATCCCAAGCAACTCGACATTTACCCATCTGACCCTCAGTTTTATTCCATAAAAAATTACGAAAAAGCTGCTCAATTTCATGGATCGTAGATGTCGGTACCAGAAAAACCGACATCCAATATGTTTGCATTGAGTGGAGCACTG